CTGCTCAGGTCCCTTCCGACCCTAGAAACTATGAAAGCAGATCTGTGCCTAAAGATCAAGACGGCAAACTCACTTGTCCCCTAACAGCTCTATGAAGTGGGAGCAGAAAGGGGGAGTTGCTTGTCTTCACAGCTTTGCATGTATGGGAGTGAGAACATCTGCCTGGACACATCACAGCATGAGCTATTTGAAGTCAGCACCTTGCAATGGCAGCAGAGGGCAACTGCAGTTTCCAGCCCCCTGTCATTCTGGGCATGGAGCATTTCTAAGAGGGAAGCCAGGATAGGGTAGCCACAACTCACCTGCAGGCAGGTCCTTCCACATTGAGATTTCCCCATGGTCCTCCTCAGCATACACCCAGAGCTCTACCTGTCCTTGCTGGAGGTGGCAGATTAAGTCAGGGGTGGGACCTCGATATCCTGTTTAGGTTAAAGGTTAAAGAGGGTTTGTGGTTAGACACTGCATGCAGAATAACCAACCGGGATGCAATCAGCTCATGGATTCTCCTAGGGCCTTAGAGGAGAAAGCAAGGTGGACATTTAGGGTGAAAGGGAAGACACTGCAAGGAGACGCCTTCAGTAGATGATGATCTGTGTCACTCAGGTAGTGGAGGGGTGGTCCTATGAAGCAGAGTACCAACCACTCAGAGGTATAAAAAGGTATGAAACTAACAGTCACCAGGGACAGCGGTGGAGATGCAGTGATCTGTGATGTACTATAAGGCAGAAAGATAAAGCTTTTACTATTTTCTAGGTACAAAATAAAGAGACACTGGACACGCTTCTGGATGGATACCATTTACCTTTATCAGTGTAAATCTTGGCAAAGGAGTGGCAATGAGTTTCTTCTCACTGAAGGTTTAATGTCAGGGCTCAGGGTAGTGAAAAGAATTCAGGATGATGGCTGACAATGAAACCTTTTTCTGGGAGAGAAGGTAATTCATCACAAGAGCACAGGAAAGAATGATTTTATTATAACTGTAGTCACAAGTCGAGCAACATTCTATCCAAGGGACCATCATCCCAGCAGGGGAGATGAGTGCCCAGGTTGGCAAATACTGCAGGGTTTAAAGCAAAGTTCCTGGAAGTCAGGAATATGGACGAAAGAAAGCAGAACATTGCACATTTCACAGCATGTGAACACCCAGAATGTAGAAATGGTCTATGTGGTCTTTGTTGAGCTAGAAAAAAACATTGGATCCCTTCCCTAAGGAAATCCTTTGGGGGAAATGGAGGGAAAAGAAAGCACCAGAAAAGGAAATTGACCTAGTAAAAGGAAAGTCCCTGTATGAGAGAGTTTCTGGAAAGGAAAATAGGTTTTCCCTTGGCTCTTCAGATAGCCCACTTCTTTTTATCACAGTGACGGGAATCTCATATGAAGAGGAGTTGTAGGAAGAAGACAAGAAAACATCTGAGAATAGCAGAGTGAGCTTGAGAGCACAGGTCTGCAAGTAAATCCAGCAAAGCCAGAGTCCGCAGTCTATGGAGATGAAGTTCTTATGAAAGACGTGGACATAAGACGCTTCCAGTGACTCCTGGTGAAAAGTACCCGGGTTCCAGCAGGTGCATGTACGTCACGGCAGAAGAAGCCAAGGAAATGCACAATCCACGTGTGGGAGCATGGGAGGCTGATACGACTTCCATCACCTTCTGCTGGGGCATCAGTGAATTGGAGATGATACGAAAATACTGGGAAGGCAAAGGGAGATCGTGTTGCTAAGAAATAGCTGAATAGGGAAGCATCAGGAGTTAAAGCATGGGGAAAACTCAGGTGAAGGCAGTTATATGAATATATCCTCCTTCATTTCATTTAAAACATGAGAGTCCTCATAAACAACACAGCAGTGGGGAGAACATGGATTTCAACCCCTGGCCATGAGGATGAGATCTGAAAAACAGGGAGAAGACCATAAACTTCAGAGCTCACGTGGCTCCAGGGAGAAGCAAGGAGGAGAACTTTACCCAGGGAAATAAGAGCTTGGTAATTCCTCAGCTTCTGGTCCTCATTAAAGCTCCTTGCCTTCATCATCCAGCAGCTCCCACTCCTCCCACATGAAACTTCTGGGAGCTGCAGGCACAAACGTTGTACCATCAGTGTCTCCTGGGTCAGCTGCCTTCAGCCCCCACAGCCCTGTCTGCAAGCACTCTGCACTACAGCTATTTCCAAACTTGGTCACGACAGGCAGCCGTGCAAAACTCTCCATCATTCAGCTGATGTGCGACTTGTGAATGCAGCTGTGGATGCAGGAGTTCATGTGTCTACCCTGGCCTAGCTTATCCCCTTCTATTTCCTCAGTCTATGGAAGGAGCACTGGCCCCACAGACTCTGCCCAGGCCTTCCTGTGCCAGTACCTCTGGCCATCAGCACTTGGCAGTAAGCTCCGGCTAATGACTGCTTGGTGCATCTGCAGCCTCCGACATCAGAGGCTTGTCGCTCTGCAGGCCACTCTGCTCCCCAAACTCTTCCCTGCACCCCTAGTTCTTCCTGGCTCTGCCCCAGGTGCACCTGGTGCCCTGCTCACCTCCAGGCTCTCCCTCGGCTGCCAAGGCCTGCCCTGCCCCTTCTGCACTGGGCCTGGCTCAAGGGGCAGGGAGCCCCTCTCTCCCAGGCTCCCTGGGGATGTCCTCTGCAGCTCCAGGCACACAAGCCCTTCCTCACCAGGCTGCTGCTTGGCTTTCCTCAGGGTCCCAGCACCTGCAGGTGGGGAACACAGTGGACGGGTTAGCCCTGGCTCTGCGGGCAGGGCAGAGCCCTGCTACTCTTCTGTTCTGGCCTGGGACTAAGGTGGCCAGAGGCCTCAGTGCATGGGAAACAGGGGAGAAGGAAGACTCAAAGCCCCACAGTTCTTGCTAATGGGCCTCTGTAGGCACAGAGCTGGGGATGAGCCCCAAGTGTCTTTGTCCCAGCGTGGGGTGAGATCACAGCACCATGGAAGAGCTGGCAGGGACATCACTCCCTGGGATACAAGGTCCAGGGACCTTAGTATTGTGTCAGCATCCAGCTTGTAAGGGCAGGGGAGGGAAATGCAAGGTCCATCTTCTCCAGAGCGTATGCAGGACCACCAGGACATGGGGAGGACAGGAACAGCTGATCTGGCGTAGCAGACCTCATCAAATGTCCTGGCAGACTTCTCCACTGACGGATGGTGCCTGTTGCTACTAGAAAGGGTAGAGCCACCACTCCATCCCAGCCCCAGGGGAAGGGCCTGGTCTGGGGCACCAGCCTAAGGAGCTTTTATCAGCTGATGACTCCCAGGTCTCTGTTTTGGGGCAGTTGGCAGTAGGACAAAGGCTTGGCATGAGCTGGACCTGAACCAGGCAGATGTTCCTGGGGATCTCATTTCCCAACATGCACCCCAGCCCTTTGTGGGCACACATGGCATGAGAAAGGGGGCAGGGAGCACTGATTGCAGGAACATGAATTTGGTCCTTGATTGTTCTCATGGCAGCATGACGAGCCTCCCCTCCCGCCTCCCCCCAGAGCAAAGCCTCTCTCTTCTGGGTGCTGCACACATGCAGGCAGAAGGACCAGAGCCCAGCCTGGGAGCTGCCACCACAGAGGCCAGAGCTCTGTGCCGCCCCAGCCACAGTTACAAATAACGTGGCCCTGTTGCAGCTGGTGCAGATATTCGAGCCTCTCCCCCTGCACACAGGACAGCCCCTCAGGCACCCAGACCCCTGCCTGGCTCCTGCTCAGGCAGGGGCTCCTCTTTGGGGACACAAGGTAGCTTGTCCTGAGTCCCTGGCGTGTCCCTCTGTCTTCCCTCCTCCAGAGCCATGCCTGTGCCACAGGTCTTTGGCTGCTTCAGCCAGGACTCGGGACCCTGCAGTGCCCTGCTGGGCTGCACCTTTTGGAGGACATCTCAACCACCTTCACACTCCCTGTGACCTGCGGACAAGAGCCATGCATCACTGGGAGCGAACAGCCCCCAGACAGAGCTGGGAACAGCAGCGTGCAGGAGCACCCACTGCTCTGGGGCTTTTTGCCTGCCTGCCACAGCTGACACCCCCGGGGCCAGGCCATGGCCCCAGCACAAGTCTCCATACTGCACCCCTCACTCCCAGGCCCGCACCTCCTGAGCCAGGATGGCCAGGAACCGCTCCGACACCACCATGCCCAGCTCCAGAACATGCTCCCTGCCGCCACTGGGGCCCAGCCAACACTGTGGTGCCAACGTCCCACGGCCCCTTGCCCTCTTGGCAGCAGGAGCCCTGACGCCAGGTCTCTGGGGCGGGAGGTCATCTGTGAGGGCAGCTGCATGGTCGGGGGCATATTTCCAGTACCAAAAAAAGGGGCGAGGGGCAGAGAGGGAGAGGAGAGGTATATGATTGTGGGATGGA